GAAGCCCGCGGAATGACGTATCTGTCATCCGTGCTCTGTGGTCTAATGAACATCACTAATTACAGACTGCGCTATTTATAGGGTTAAATTTTCGCAACGAAAAAACTCAATTTGGTGGAAATTCATTGAATAAATTAATTCGGCTTTCAGCGCGAATTTAAATTTTGCAGAGGGCATTTTTCTACTCCCGTCCGCTAGGTTTAATCAGCGGTGGGTCCATTCCATCATGAGTGGTTGAAAAATATTACATAACAATGAAATTCCACTAACTTAGGCCGCGGCTTGGCTCTGCTCCTGTCATTGCTGAAGTGCATGGGCGACGGTAACCACTTACCATCAGGTGGGCCTAGGCTCGTCTCCCTACAAGGGCAATAAATAAAAAAATGTAACTCAATAGCGTTCAAGCCGACCATATAACGGCATTCCAGTAAGATTGAATGGTAATTTGGTAGTACCTTTACTTGTACGGGTCCACAATATGTTTCTTTACCCCATTCACAGCAATGAAAAAGACTGTCGTCTTCCTTGTCCTGCTTTTAAGCAAAAAAACAGGATTTCTCAGATTTAATAGGCAGGACGCGCTTGGCACCTTGACACTAAGCCGAGAACATTTAATAAAGGTCGTGTTTTCAATGGCTTTACGAATAGATTTAGGTAATGGTGGAGTTAGCGTAAAGCTGTCAGGCTGAACAAGATTAATCGCTTTTTGACTGAAAAGGTCACACTCGCTTTAGGGACCGAACTAGGATATATCGAAAATAAAGGAATTTCGAAATTTCATCGTACATTTTCGTTTTTGTCGACGACCAAACTAAATCACACTAGTCCATAATCATACGGAATTACCCAATCCTACAAGACATTGCAACGGGAATGGTGCAGACCATAACGTGAAGTTGAAGTCTATAAGCCTAGAACATACTAAACAAAAAAGTTGTTCTCCGGAAACGAGTGAATAGTGAGGGTACTTGACCAGTTGCAAGAGGCCAGAATCCCACGTGTTTCGCTGAAAGTAATAGAACGAAATGCTCACGGTTCATTTCATTTTTTTACCATATTCGGGTCACGTTTCAACAATGATTGGTGAAGTAGTAATGAAACTGTTAATTGCTTCGGAACGTATTGTGTATCAAGGCTGTATAATCAACGAGGGTCGAAAATGTAGATTCGCTGTAATATATCTATATTAATAAATGCTGTTGGACATGGAATGTACGTATATAAGAATATGGTACCTGGGTAAGTGACATGAGTGCTTTACTTCCATTAGCTGGGCCTGCATGATCCAATCCTCAACCCCGAAAAAGATATTTGCCAATACTTACAATGGGGAGGGGGCGTGACATGGGATTCGTTGGTCGAAGATGGTAAAGGTCCACCCACTTAAGCGACCCCCCTGCATTCTCGCCCGACACCCGATTCAGACCGAACCCCAGCAGGGTAAAGGAGTTTCCGCGGACAATACTATTTTTTATTGATTAGATGTGTGGACGAGCTCACAGCCCACCTGGTGTTAAGTGGTTACTGGAGCCCATAGACATCTCACGGACACAAGAGGTCCTACCACCAAGAATGTACGTATATAAGAGTATGGTACCTGGGTAAGTGACATGAGTGCTTTACTTCCATTAGCTCGGCCTTGCATTATCCAATCCTCAACCCAGAAAAGGATTTATATATTTGCCAATACCACAATGGGGAGGGGGCGTGACATGGGACTTGATCGAAGACGGTAAAGACCCACCCAGTTAAGCGACCCCCCTGCATTCTCGCCCGACGCCTGATTCAGACAGAACCCGAACAAGGTAGAGGAGTTTCCGCGCACAATACTATAACCGGATGCGCAGCTCTACCCAAAGACCACCCGGCTGACGGAGTTGCCTTTGTTCCTGGTATGCTGATGTCTACACGTTGAAGCCATAATTAGCAAAGAGCATTGGTACACCTCAATGCAAACTGAGACCTTTGTTTTTGTATACGTTACTTGAGTACATTAGGGTATAACTTTATAGAAATACTTGCCTAATTCAGAAGCACACAAGGCAGTCGAAATTTACATTTAATAAACCTATGTTTGTACAGTTTCAACGCAACGCATGTTTACAGTGGCTCGTTACAATCTATACAAAACAGTTGTGCAAATCGAAGACCCCAGCTTCGGGGGACCTTGACACGCCTCGCCTGGACTGCCGCAGAATTGTGCGAAACAGTGACGTAAGCAATAGACTCTTATGCTAAATGGGTAGGAGCGCCCAGGTTTGAATGTTAGGTTTTAGTCTAGCCAAAATATTGATCGTAAAATAAATTTCCGAATGGCGAGCAGGTTAATCATCATAATAAACATCCGCCCATGCCGTCAGAAATGCTAACAAATTGACAACAGCTATGAGTACTCGTGAACGCAATTCAAGATTTTTCTACCTTTGATACATGTTATGTATGGATATATTTAGACGCCCCATATCTAAATCAACTAGGATCCCTATATGTGCATCATCATTGCAACCACAACCACTAACAGAACTTAATTAGAAGAAGATATCTAAGAAAATATGTAGAGATTCAAGCTATCCTTAATGAACTTCTTTTTTATATCTTATTAAATAAGACCGTAAATAATTTAATAATTGGGGTATTGTTATACATTAAATGTATATTTCACGTACGATTACGTACATATTTAATTTATAATAAGTTTAGCATTAGACAATTTACAGTGCGCTCATAGACATCTGACGTGATTATAAAATAATTATAATCAAAATCAAGCGGTAAAAGTACCATAAATCTTATCTGCGACTAACGAATACAATGCAAAATATTAAAGGTAAACTTAATAGAATTTCCAATACTCCTAACACTGCTTTTCAAGTATCCTCATCTTTGCTAATGAAAAACTTTCATAAGCGACCCACAAAAGTCATCATCTAATTTTACACAAAATCCAATAAAGAAGCACTAAAAATAAAACATTCAATTATTTTTAACCCAAACACACACACACACACAGCACGAAAATGAAACAGGGTCTACATCCGCTGCTCTCTACACACAAGATAAGTGCCAAAAACAACAATGCAAATATATTATAACGTTGACCCGTACTCTCGGAATCTGGTTATATGCAAATATTTATACTGAACAGGAAATTAACTTCAGTGGAGAGCTGTCTGTTTAGGGAACTGGTAAAGGGGTTTGAAATTCGGTGATATTTTGGTGTGAAAGGATTACATTAAATATTAAGTAATCTAATCCAATAAATCATCTTGCCCAAATAAAATTATTAATATTTGCCGTATTTCTCTATTTCCACTAGTCTAACGAACAAAATCAAGATAAGCGGATTAACTTCTCAACACGTAACCCAATTTCCACGTTGAAATAGTACGATCCGTGTCTTGGATCGGACGGAAAGCTCTAAATTTAAGCCTGCTATCAGAAACTGGAACAACGGGTCTTTAAGATAAGGCAAACGACTTTTGAATGCCACCGTCACAAAAGGCATATCCCCTTAATCACCCCTCTGGTACTTTTATTCATTCCAACTTGAATGGAAAGCTAGGTCGCGCTTTGAAATTTTCAATAACCAGTTCTTTTTAGAATTTCATACGTTAAATGGAAAAAACTTTCTTAGGGTCATTGGTTGTAAAATATCCTGTCTGTTCATAAAAATGCTGTAGAACCCGTGCGGGATTAAATTAAGCCCTAACGCCAGCAAATTTATAAATTTCGTTGGGTCTAATTTTTGTTTTATCATCTTAATAATCCTTCCTTCCTTAATCCTCCATTGTCAAAATTTCTCGTGAACATGAGTTAAATACTACTTCTACTAAGTACTGCTGCTATTTTCTTTTTACAAAACAGTACCTGTATCACGAATTCGAAAAGCGCCATAACCGCATCGCTCGACACGAGTATATCGGGCATCTTATACTTTATAATCACTATTTCTTATTTTCAACAAAACAATCACAAAATAAAATACGAATACTTGTTTTAGTGAACCGAAGAAGGTTGTGGTTAGCAAAATGTAAACAAAATATCAAATCTAGAAATTGTATTAATAATGCAACAAGTTTCAGAACTCCCCGGAGCAATGCTGAACAAAGATTCGTGTACTATAGAATGTTTTTCTTCTTCAGAATTTCAAATGAAAAACAAACAGTAAAAGACGATTGAATGTTTTTTTGAAAAACATTTTCTTCGAGAAACTCAGAGTTTATTAAAGTGGAATGGTTTCAAATATACATACTATGTACATGATGATAAACTTTTAGGAGCACACAACACAGCTATAATGCTAAAAGCATTAATACTAATTTTTTTTTTATTGCTCTAGTAGACAGCATACGGGCCACCTGATATTGAGTGGTTGCCGTGGCTCATGGACGTAGCAAAGCCAGGAGTAGAGCCTACCATGAAAAACTTTAACCAAGCATACCATTATTGGGTCTATATGAAGTTTCCGTTTACTCTAACAAGATGTTAGTCATTTTTTTTATTTCTATCCAAGAAAATATGCACCCATCGCATGGAAAGATCTCTGCCAGCGCAGTGGTAATTTTTCGATGCCTTTCTTGAAGAAAAAAACAAGCCGCCACCGCCACCGAGCCTTTCAAAGGATTTTTGTAATGCCTCTCAAGTATTGAATCCTGCGTTCGTTTGTACTGTATTACACGTCATTAATGTTGTCAGCTGTTTGTGTGACATTATTACCGGAATGGAACTCGTATTCCATAATTTTTCGGGTCCCTAATGATGAAAATTGATACAAATGTAGCGAAAATCACGAATCAATAGCAATACATAAATTAGTTTCCAAATAGCCAATATTGTAAAACGGTAACTTTATAGGTACTACTACCCTATTAATAGTTTCGGTGTGAAAGTTGTGTCTCTTATTCGAAGTATCTTGCCATATTCACATTAGACCGGGCACAATACAAAGAACTCCTTGAAAACATTCAAGAAGCCAAAACAATTTAAGATTATAAACTTACCAGGATAGAAGTCGTGCGACTTGGACATCTTGACCCTGGCCCCGGTGTCCTTCTGCAGCTGAGCGATGGTCTCCCCGCCCTTGCCGATGATCGCGCCAGCCACCATCGATGGCACCAGTACCTTGAAGTGGTATGTCGGCTCCACTGCTGTCGACCATAAATTTAAATCAGTACATTGAAAATTTTCCAAAAAACATTACAATCGATCTGGTTGTGAAAAGAGAACCGTATTGTGTATAGTAAATACTCTTTTATTGTGAACAATGACTTAGCATCGAGTGGAATGATAGTTTCAGAATAATAAACTGAAAAATAGATCCGTTGTGCTCGATTTTTCTTTTCAGTTAAGTTCAATTAGCCTGAAATAAATACTAATCAGATTTTGAGAGTCACGGTGAATTATATGATATGAAAATACTGAACATGTTAATTCAGAAGCGATTTAAATTATATTTCATGATCATTGTGCATAATACGACTCAGTAGCAACGTAATCAACAATTGTGTTTACCGAGTTTTGGTTATGATAAGAACCTTTAAGAATATACATTTGCATCTATAGATTTTAACCATTAGAGGCAAATTTATAACTTGTATAAATATGTAAAAATGTAAATAATAACTTAGATTTCTCTTCCAATATCTCCATGAACATGAGATTTTATTTTAATTAATTAATAAATTTAACGGTCACTCGGAATTATCAAGGAATTATCAGAACTCATAATAGCTTGCAGGTTGATTGGCAAATCATTGTTTAACTAACTGCATTAAAAATTCTGCCGGTAAACATGTAGAAATCGTTAATATTTCATTTATGTGAATCGTCGACCAAATAAAATATAAATGAACCACCACAGTAATAATAATAGCAATCAAATATTTTTCCTGACCCTCGGGAAGACCGTAAACATATTCGATTGGTTAGGAAATATTATATGTTTTCAAAGGGTTTCTTGTTTGCTATCACAAACAAGTTTGCATTTGATTGAATTTATACGTAGCGGTTCAAAAATATCGGCAACATACTCTCTTCTTAACTTCGTCCCTGGAAACTCATGTCCTGGGCTCCGGAGAATTGCGATTTCATTGACAAAACCGATCGTGTGCAAACTACACATATCTCTATATATATAAAAATGAATTGCTGTTCGTCAGTCTCGCCAAAACTCGAGAACGGCTGAACCGATTTGACTAATTTTGGCATTGAATTATTTGTGGAAGTCCAGAGAAAGTTTTAAAAGGTAGATAAATATGAAAATGCTCGGAATTAAATAAAAATAACAATTTTGTTTTTCCTTAGATGTGTCCCCCGTCGGACGGATTCCTTTTGTTTGTTTTAAGTTTATTTTATACAAAAGATTAAGTCTTTTATTTATCGATTAAGGCACTACGAAGTCTGCCGTGTCAGCTAGTTTGTAATAAAAACATTAACAACTGTGAACTAACACCGCAATGTGTAGAAACTAGGGCATCCCACACACAATTGTGCCGCAGCATCTCAATGATGCGGGCGTCTCGTTTGACCTCATTCGAGACGGAGCTAAAGAGCGCTGTTCACCTGACGGACTGCCTCCGGTACCAGAGGAACCTGCGCATTGTCAGCGCAGCCCCGCTTTGTTTTGTCATTCAAAATGAAAGGCATCACAATATCAACAACAAAACAATAAACATTTCATAATGTATTGAATTTTTGATTTATAGAATCAAGCTAACTTACTCAGGGTTTCTCTCGTGTGTCAGGTGGTTAATGGAAACTACATATTATGGATATCACAACGTGATTGCCAGCGTCTAACTTAAGACATTAGTTCAAAATTACAACTATATTGTGTCATGGTTGCCCCACACCTTCCGAAACGAAATACACGATTTCGGGAAAAGCAGGATGGGATCCCGTACGGACCCATGAACGCCTTACCACCATTAGAAGTTACAATTTTACTCCTACAGGCAAGTAGTTTAAAAACTACTCTTATCAAAGAACATTGCTTTCCAAATATTAATTTGAAACATCCCATCACCATTTTAAAGTTTATACATTTTTTTTATTGCTTAGAAGGGTGGACGAGCTTACGACTCACCTGGTGTTAAATGGTGATCGGAGCCCATAGATATCTACAACGTTGATGCCGCCACCTACCTTGAGATATGAGTTCTAAGGTCTCAGTTTTTGCAGGTGGCAGGGTGGTGGTGCCTACTACCTCTGCGGACTCATAAGACGTCCTACCATCAGTAATTACGAAAATTATAATGTTGTGGGTTTGTTTTTTACTACACGATGTTATTTTTTCACCGTGGACGTCAACCGTAAACATTTGGTAGCTGCGTATTTCATTAGAAAAAATTGGTACCCGCCTGCGGGATTCGAACCCCGATACATCGCTTGATGTGACTGAACCGAACGTCTTATCCTTTAAGCCACGACGACTTCAAAATTACAATTCTTGTATTACATAATCATAATACATGAGATTCAGGGTATCGATCGATCTTCATTCCAATATCAAAGATTCGAATTCCAATTCGTTTGAATGTCAAAGAACGCAAATTGAACAATTTCGGATTCGTCAAAGGGCGTTCGACTTATGGCAAAGTATTAAAAATTCTTCTCATTTCACGAGCTATCCTACACTGTCAGATGAGTAAAAGGATTAAAATGCCACCGATACTCATGCTACTAACAGAGAATTAAGTAGACTAGTGGTCCCCGCAGTAGTCGAAATTCGACTATAATTAGTTGAAATTATAAGTTAGAACATTCTTATTGGTTCTATTGTCAAAGACAATTTTTATGCTTCTATAATCACAAATTTCACCAAGACTACACTTTAGACAAATATTATTAAAAAACAAACAATATTCAATCTATTCTGAATTTGACCACAGACTTTAAAGAACAACAAAAGTTTCACAATTGACAATTTACAAAGAGTATATTTATACGTATGTGTTGTTTCAAATACACGGTATGCGAGGTTGTTAGCAAAATTAAATGGAAACTACTTCGCGGCTATCCCAAACTAGTCGCATCAACAATTCACTAGACTATGTGACGCTCGCCCTCGAGATACCGAAAGAAATAAACTCTAAGAGATTTTAGATAAAACTGTCAAAATAAACTTAGAGTCCATTTAACAAAGTTCAGCAATGAAGAATTCTAACAAGATGAAGACATATGAGTAAGACATTTATGAAATTCTGACACCAGTATTAAGTTTCTTTTGGAGACCAGCATTATAACGAAGAACAACAAGCAACTTATTGTTATATTAAAACATTTCTATCCTTCACGAAAAGAATAATCCTTTTGACAAAGAAAATCATAAGATTGCATTATAACCGCGCGGATAGATCTTTTTGTTCGAGCACAATGAAAGGGAGTTAATCTAGGCCAGAGATCGGGCAGTTTGGGCCCACTGAGAAATATTGCGACAAGCCAACAACGGCAGTCCAATTCTGTTAGGAATTTGACATTCAATTTATATACAAACTGTCAAGAAAATACATGGAGAGACGCCAAATAATTTTTAACGAGCATTTTTAAAGTATTGAAAAATCAGTTTTCTATTTGCTAACACGAATATTGATGTACTTTAGAATAAAAACTTCAGGTTGTTAATTAATCGCAGCAGCAGATCTATTGTGCGTATCAGCCCATAGATATGAATATAAATACCGCCACTCAACTTGAAAATTTAAGAACGAAGTCTCAATTAGATTGTGCGGCCAATAAATACAAATGGGCACGCTAACTTAATGTTTTAATGCTTCGTAAAAATAAAAAGATAATATAAAAAACAATGAAAGTTAAATTAAATAACATGAAACGAACATAGAGGGCATTGTGAGTGACAAAATCAAAGATCTAGTACACAATATTCCTTTAATATGTGCGGAAAAGGGATAGAGAGTATTCCATCATCTTTCCACCTTAAAGAGCCATTTAAACATTCGTGACAGGTCGAATTACGAATGAGTGTATTATTAAAATTATGTTCTTCGCTAACTGGATTTATTGATTTTAATAAATACGTTAGCCTGTCGAGATTTCTACAGTTCTCTTGTACTGGTTTAATTAAGCACTAGCAGGTCTGTGAGATTGCCTTTAAACACAATTCAAACAGTCGACAAACGATAGGCTGATAATATTACCATCCTACCTTAAAGGCCATATAGGAAACAAAACCAGTTTAAAATCTCATACCATGGTCTCGCTCATACATTATTCACGATATCTCATTATAAACATTATGATATCTAGTCTCTGCGACCTTGCCGAGACACAGCGAGGTGACGACGACCGGTGCAACAAATCGAATGTTACATTAGAAATATACTTGGCTTGTGACGAGTTCGTGACATTGTTCTGTTACTTGCTTGGCTTCGACACGTGCAGTTTGCGATGATCCGCTTTAAAGATAGATCTTTTTATGGGCACCTAGACGCTCAATTTATTTATTTTCCTACCTAAGCTGATAGCCTTGAGAGGCTATTTCAGGGTAACCTTAACTAGTAGGTGAGCTCAAGGGGCTAAACCGGAGTGATGCTAACACTAACCCTAGCAAGAGCAGTGCTTCGCAGAATCTACCACCGGATCGGAAACGCGACCCACTGAGAAGATCCGGCGAGCAAACGCTCAATGGAAAACCTTCCCTTTATATAGCAAGTACCTCTGTTCTTTAGTAGTTAACGGCGTTCATGGGCATTAGTAAAACTATGGGTTTAGTCATGTTCCTGTTTACCGCTGAGGAGGAGATATCTTCAACTATACTATAATTTTAAGGAATACCGAGAAAGGCGTGCAAGTTGATCGAATTACTAAATGTGTTCACACAATTGGCTGCCTTTCACCAATATATCTTTAATGCCATAATTCAGCCATGTAACAGCAGCCTCCTCTGTCCCATAGGCCTTGGTGCATTACATCCATTAAGATAATTATATTTTATTTAACAGATATATGCCACAGTTGAAAGTTAAAAGCTATTAAACTCGAAACACATTTAATCCGGTGAAAGATTAAAGTGACGTCATTAAGGTAAAAGTTCCAGACTTTTCAGAGCGCATCAGTACGGAGTTAGGGAGGAGAGCTCTCTTCCACAAAGAACTTGGCAAAGTTTCATTTCTCTTTGACACGCCTTATG